CTGTCCCCTGTTCACACCAGCACAGTCAGCACGAGCAGGGCAGGGCAGCAGCAGGCTGTGCTTTGGGTGACTCACACTGTGAAGCATGACACGAGGCGTATGTCAGGGTTTTTGGCTCACTGTATCTCAGGGCTTTCCATTTGTGAGAAAGAGAGTTTCTTTCTTCCAGCACTGGAAGGGATTCTCTAACCCCATTGGCCAGGCGTTGGGGCAGGGGACAGGGGCACTACGAGTGGCTGCTGTCCCTGTGCAGCTTGCCCCGTGCTTCGTGTCCGCCCCAGCACCGCTGCCTGCCCCGGCGTGGTTTTGCTGCTGCCGCATTTGCTCGCAGGGTTATCTGCTCCACAACTCGTGTTGGTTTTGGCACGCAGCGCCGGGACCACACCTACTATTTAAATACCACAGCCAAAAGGCACTGAGGGAGGAAAAAAAAAAAAAAAAAAAAGAAAGAAAACGAGTACGAAATATTTGTTGCGGTTTGGAGATACGCACACGCACACACAACACAAACACAGCAGCCCGGCACCAGATCACTGGCAGCCAAGGAGGGAAGGCTTGGGCTAAGATTGTCTTCAAAACCACCCTGGTGGCAGAGTGTGCTGAAGGGAAACCCTTGGGGCTAGCATTAGCCCCTGCTGTGTGCAAAGCCTTCTCCTGGGCCAGGGTTAGGGAAACTGGGGCCAGGCAGGGAGCAGTGCCAGCCCTGGGCCTTGGGGCGGAGGGGGAAGGGCATGTGGGAATCTCCCATCCCGTGAGAGGATTCCCTCTGAGGGGTCCCATCCTAGAAGTGCCCATTGGGGTGGCTGCACCACCTCCATCCCGCTCTGAGAATTGTGCTGCAGGAGTGCTTGGTGCTGGCAGGGGAAAAAACGACCCCCGAGCAGCCTATGGGGTCTTGGGGACATGGAGGATGGGTGCCTCATGCGAGAGGGCAAGAACCAGCCTGGCTTTGGGCCCAGAGGCCGTAGGGACAGCCTGAACAAAGTGACAGACAGCGGTAGCACCTGCACTCGCCCCTGCCCAGCACACCCTGCCAGGAGCAGGTGGATTATCGCCACGTTCCTTTCCCCGGGCTCCTTCCCGGAGAAGTTTTCCTGATGATCTCATTGGATGCACATTTCTAAATTGTTTGCTTGATTGTTTCATCATCGGAGGTCAATTAAAGAGAAGGCGAGTTCCTGTCGCCCCGCTGCTAACCCCTTCACTGCCAGAGCCCCAGAACAAAGGGAGGAATTGGGCTTGGGCTCAGGCAGCTTGTATTCCCATTTGGATATTTCCAACAAGAGAGCATTCCCAGGAGCTGGGCTCAGCAGTGCACTACATGGGCTGGGACAAGGGGAAAAAAAAATCCATCCTTTTGTTGTGCATTGCAATGCTACATGGTAACAGGGGGCTCCTTCCACTCAGCACCTGCCATTCCCCTCCACTGCCACTGATGTGCCCCATGCAACACAGCCACACCTGTGCGGAGCTGGGCTGTGAAACACCATGTCCCTGTGTGGAGGAGGGTGGATGAGCACAGGGATGGGCTCTGGTACTTTCCCTGGTTTAATGTGTGTATGGGAAAGGGAGGTTGTACCAACCCACTCTGAGATGGAGTTAATTGGAAGCTGAATCCCTTTTAGGGCTAACAAGAGATGAGGGATGGAGGCTGCTCATGGGAGAATGGCTGAGATTGGATTCTTTGAAGGACATCTCCAGCTTGTGGCATCACCCATGAGGGCTGTGGTGCGCTGTGACTTGGGGCACCTTCCAGCATCTCCAGGTGCAACATGTACCCAATGGGGGAAGACCCCATCCATCACAATGCTCACCCCCGCGGGCACGGTGCTTTCAGCTTTCCTGTACCAGTGAAAGTTAAGCAGTGGAGGAAAAACGTTGCTGTGTGTTATAGAGGAAGAGAGGTAAAAAGGGCAGGAAATTTGCACCATGTCCATTTCCCCTTGGCCCCAGGCCGCTGCTCATTCCGGATTTGGGATTTGCGTAGGCAGAGTTAAAAATAACAGGGGTATATAAAGAAAGACTCAGAAGGCTGTGCTGGCCCCATAACAGCCCGGCCGGCAGCCCCAGCAGCGAGGGCACAGCCAGGGCTCGGGCGGAGATCAAAGTGGGATGCGGGATGTGGTCCATGGTGAAGTGTATGATGAGAGCATGGGACAGCCAGCTCTGCCTGCTCTGTGTGACATGGCAAAGCATAGGACAGGTGGCTGTGCCACTCCTCAGGGTGCGCTGGCACCTGGGAACACTCATGGGAGACAGGGACATGTGTGTTCTCCTCATCCGACATCACTCCTGACTGCCGTCCCTATGCAGCGCTGGATGTCCACCAGGAGGGACCTGAGCCAGCAGACCCATCCAAGGGGACCCGCAGCCATTGTGTCGGGGTGCTGCTGCCCTCTGCAGCCCTCAGCCCCATCCGTGTGTCCCGGTGCTCCCCGGGCTCCGGGCAGGCAGGGCGGACACAGCAGCTCGCTTGGCCGGTGCAAACGAATCTGCCCTCTGTGCCCTGATAACATTGTGTTTGTTGCCGAGCGGGAAGAGCCTGCCAGCGCACGATAAGAGCAGATGACTTTATTCTGGACCCGCTCCGGATTGAATTATGCTTTAATTTCATTTTCAGTTCCTCTTTTCTTTCCAGGAGGGGAAGGGGCTTAGAGGAGATGGAGGGAGGTCTGCGGTCTCCTTCCTGGACCCTTCCCCACATGAGCCAGCTCTAGGCAGAGGGAGACTGGTAGTGTCACCCCACTCCATGCCCCCAGGTGTCCCTCCAGCCTGCGGTGCGTCCCTGCGGCACCACCCTGCCGGACCCCCCTGGGGCTCCAGCTGTGTCACCCACTGCAGCCAAATCTCTCTGGGCTGTGATGATATGGCCAATGCTATAGGAGCTCTGAAGTTCCCCAGAGGAGAAGGGACACAGGGAACCAATGCCACCCACAGCAGCGCACACCCCAGCACCTACGAACATGCAGGATAACCATTAACCCTTTCCTCTTGGGCCACCGCCGTGGCGCACAGCCCTTCCCTCCCACTGTTTGCTCTCCCGCTGAGCTGCTGTTTGATCTTGTCTGATGCCATCTACTTTACAGTCTGCTGCAGAGGAGCGGGAGATAATTTGTGTTTCCTAAATGGGCTTCTGTCAACAGCAGGCTGCATGCGTGCCGTCAGACTCCGGCTGAGCCCATTCACATCCACTGGGGCTCCTGGCGCACCAAGTTCTGCCGTGCTCCCCACACAGTGCTGGGAACAGTGCTGCCCCTCCATGCTGCCCTTCTATAAGCAATTAGGAAGCATTAGGATTTCCCCACATCTACAAGAAACATTGCCTGTAAAAGGGACTCCTATCTACTGGTGATGCCTCTCCTGGAATAAGCTGTGAAAAGTGCCTGGAAAAGGGAAAAGCCAAGTGGGATGAGAACTTATCTCCTGTGGCATCTGCTCTCACTTATCTATAAAAGTTTTGGGCAGGAACTGCCTCACTATTAATTATTATTTGGATGAGAAACAAATAATGGGATTAGCTGGTGACTTCAACAAGACACTGTGGGGGCCAGGCCAGCAGGGTGCCCACACACCTTGAGCCTTTCCCCACTCAGACTGTGACTTTTTCAGGGGAAGGATGTGGCACCCATACACTTCAACCCGTCGGGTGACACTACCACAGCCATTGGTGGCAGGCATGCAGTGCCAGGCAGAGTCCCAGCGCGTGCTCTGGAAATGAGGGCAGGGATTCTTGGTAAAAGGGGAAGATCTGAATCGTTGTTGTTCCACGGGATTACCGAAATAATTTATTGCAATGCTCCACCCTTATAATTAAAGCACGGTGATGAAAGCAACTGGTAGGGTGGCTTTGGATCCAGCAGCGGCGGTGCGTGTGTGTGTGCGCACCTCGGGTGTTTATGTGTGTTTTTTTTCAAATTGACTCCTCGCTTCTGAGCAGGACGGCAGCAGCCCGAGTTCTTAGAAAGGTATCTTGAGATGGAAAGCCCCAGAAAGCAGGGAGACAAGCTGGGAGAGATAAGGACTATGGCTCCTTGACAAGCGCAACAGAAACCGGGCCATTCCTGGTACTGCCTGGAGGGAGGCCAAGCGGAGTGCTCTCGCAGTGGGATACACACCAAGGCCCAGAGCCCCTGGGTGGCCACCCAGAGCCCTGCACCTCTGTGCCACATCCCCATTTGGTGGCACAGAGAGGGGTCACTCTGCAAATGGGGATGTCACAACCTACTTGCTGCTGCAGGGAGCTCTCGTGGGGATGGCACTGTGCTGGGGCTCCGTGGAGCGAGCAGAGCGGCACAGCAGACTTACACCCTCTGCAGTGGGGCTGCTGGAGGCCTTGCCATGGTGCTGGCCCCCAGGAGGGCAGGCAAACATCTTGTGGGGCTGTGGGGTGCGATGAGGAGAGGCAAGCAGGCTGCCAGCCCCTGGTGTGCTTATCTCTGCTCGCACACGTACCCTGCGCTTGGCCTGATGGCAGCTCTGCACTCCGGGCTGCTGATTGCACCGCACAGGGGACGCAGCCTCACATTCACCGTTACAAGAGGTGAGCGGTGTGGGCGCATCGGTTTGCAGCACACCTCTGTGCTGGCCCTGCTCACTCCCACTCGTGTCCGTGGACACCAGTGTAGGTCAGGCTCAACGTGCCCCTCTACGCTGGGCTCTGTGATCCACGCTGGCACCCTCTCCACTCGCTCTGTGGCATAGGGCACGGACAGACCCAGCTGTGCGGTGACACTGAAGGTGCTGCAGAACTGAGGACTCGGCTCCGCGACCCACGCCGGGACCCCGCACTCCGGGTCGGGGCTCATCGGCCGCCCTCCGTCTGGACCCGTCGAAGGCAGCCCCAAGGAGGCGGGCGTGGCCTGAGAGCAGGGGGGCGGGGCTTAACAACTTCAGTACCCAATAGAAAGCTGCGGCGGCCAACATCAATGTAAATCGGACCAATAGGAACGCAGCCATGCTGTTAACAGCTTAGGGGCGCGGGGCGGCGCAGAGCAGCGCTGCCGCCGCCGCGGGGAGCGGAGCGGAGCCGGGCCCCGCGCGCCGCGCTCCCCCCAGCCCCGTGCCCGGTCCCGGCCCGCCATGGCGGCGGCCGTGGACGAGAGCGCGCTGCCCTCCATCTCCACCTTCACCAACCTGCTGCCGCTGGAGGAGCGGTCCGCCGACATGCACGTAAGCAGCGGGCGCTGGGGACGGAGTGCCGAGGGAGAGGGTGTTGGGGTCGGGGGTGCTGGGTCCGGTGCTCGGTCCCTTCGCCGTCGGAGGGCGCTGCTGGCGCTGTGCCGTAGCGGTTCGGAGCCGTCGGGTGGGTTGGGAGAGCCGCCGCCCCGGGAAGGGGGTACGAGTGGGGGGGAGCTGTGCCCCGCTGTCCCGTTCCTGACGCCGATGTTCCCGCAGAGGATGCTGCAGCAGGATGGCCCCGCCGCTGCCGTGAAGCGAGAGGAGGACGACTTGGGTAAATTCGTGGATTTGGACTTCATCCTGGCGCACACTAGCAGCGGCGGGCAGGGACCGCCCGGCCCCAATTACCCTTTGCCTGAGACCCCCGAGAGCTGCGGCACCACGTACGACAGCGACGGCTCCTACCCCACGCCGGGCAAGTTCCCGGCGCCGTACCCCGATGGCCAGAGCCACAGCTACGTGGCCGAGCTTCTCACCCCGGACCTGCCCGCGCACTGCGACCTGCAGCGGCGGGAGTACACGGAGCTGCGGGTGCCCGGTGGCCCCCACCACCCGCACCACCACCACTCGGCCCTGCACCCGGCCCTGTCCCGCCCGCTGCCCCTGGACCCGTCGCAGCCTTTCGGGCATCGCATCAAGAAGGAGCAGCCGGAGGAGCGCGCCTGCATGCTGGGGGTGCCTGGCGGCGAGTACCTGGGACCGGGAGGTGGTGAACACAAGCCCCCCCGCATGGCGCCGGGCCCGGTGTCGGGACCACCGCTGCCGTACCCTGGTTTCACCCACGGCCGCTTGGGCCCTCCCGAGGAACCGCTGCCCGGCGCCGACCCGCACCTGCTGGCCGACCTGCCGCCCCACTACGCCGTGGCCCCGCATCGCTACGCGCCCCACTTCGCCCCCCAGCCGCCCCCTCAGTTTCATGGACACTTCAGTGTTTTCAGGGAGCCGCTAAAGGGGCCGGGGCCAGGTCCGGCGGGGCTGCCTGGGCTGCTGGTCACGCCGCCCAACTCCCCGGTGCTGGAGTATTTCCCGACCGGGGGCCCTCCCGAGGACTGCAAGCCCAAACGCGGCCGCCGCTCGTGGGCGCGCAAGCGGACGGCGACGCACAACTGTGAATACCCGGGCTGCGGCAAGACGTACACCAAGAGCTCCCATCTCAAGGCGCACATGCGGACGCACACGGGTAAGGAAGCCCCGAGGAGGCGGGCGAGGGTCAGGACGCATGGGGTTACTCGCGCGGTCCCCGCGGTGGGGTTGGATAGGGGCGCGTGGAGGGGATGCTCTGCCGTCTGTCCACGGTAATAGCCCCAGCCGTGGAGTATGAGGAGGATTCACGGTGTGGGGCCGGGTTGGGGTGAGCTGTGAGAGGCAGGAATGGCCCTATGTGGGGGCCGGGTGTGCTCAAGACCCTGAGATATGAGGTGTGGCAAATAAGTACCCACAGCTGGGCTGAGGACGCAGGGAGTGGGGTCCCCATGGTGGAAGTGTTCTGATGTAGCCCTGTAGCAGAGCTGCGATGCGGCACGTGGTGAGTGAGGTTCCTTGGCAGGGACAGGCGAGGGGGCAGAGGCACGTGGAGGGGTTCTTGCAGTGGGGCAGAGGTGGGCCTCGTGCTGAGGCAAACGAGGCAGAGATATGTTAGGTGAAGGGCAGGAAGATCGGGATGAAAGAAAGGTGGGTCTGACAACGGCACACAGTCTGTTTCCTCTCTATGAAGGAGCCTAGGAGCGGTGGGCAGGGACTCAGGAGGACTGGGAAGGGGGGGGGTGAACGCATGTGGAGTGCTGTGCGCAACTGACAGCCCCTCTCCCCACAGGTGAGAAGCCCTACCACTGCACCTGGGAAGGCTGCGGCTGGAAGTTCGCCCGCTCCGATGAGCTGACCCGCCACTACCGCAAGCACACTGGGCACCGGCCCTTCCAGTGCCACCTCTGCGAGCGGGCCTTCTCCCGCTCTGACCACCTGGCCCTGCACATGAAGCGGCACATGTGAGCGGGGGCTGCAGGCGCGCTCGGCATCCCCTCTGCTGAGCGACTCCCCGGAGCAGCTCCTGCTGTAAATAGCATTGGGGAGCAGCCCGGCCCTTCTTGCTTGTAGCTGATAACTATTTTCTCCTCCTGCCTCTGCTGTGAGAGCAGGGTTCGGCTGCGTGCTGGGGTGAAGGTGAGGAGCAGGGCTATGCGAAGTCCCTTGGCCTGTTCCTGTTGCTGAGGGCTGGTGCAGCAGGGATCTGTTCCCAGAGCTCCTCGCTTGTATTTGGCATTGGCTTCAAAACCTTCTCCCTAGTCCTGGCACCCTGCAGCTCTGGGGATGGTGGTGGCTGATTCTGGCCGAGCTCCTGTGCTGGAGATCCATGTCCCACAACTCTGTGTTCCGCTCTTCTCAGCTGCGGCTGTCAGAGCAAACGTCCTGGCCCGAAATCCCGGGGAGTGTGGGGTTAAATTAGGACTTAATCATGAGTATAAAGGTTCTGTGGGGGTCGGCAGTGCAGTGTTGCATCACACAGGGAGCTGGATGCCCTCAGAACTAGCCTGGGACCCCCTGGGTGGTCTGATCCTATGCCCACAGTTCTCCTCTTGGGAGCCCAAATGGTTCTCACCAATGGTCTACTTTAGTTCTTCCCCTCAGGATGACACCAGGTACTGCTGCGGCTGCCTTCCCCATGCTGCTTTTTAAAAACATAGTGTGTAAAGGACAGTGAGTCCAGCTCTGAATGCCCAGGTCTCTGCTATACTTGAAACTTTCTTAGAGGGAAAAAGAGAAAACTCAGAATGAATCTTTTTATGTGCAGCTTCTGCAAAGCAAGATGTAAATTAAACAAAGCAGTAATATATAATGTTTCTGTTTTTTAATATATTTTTTTCTTCCAGCTGGGAACACAGATGAGTCTCAGCTTTGGGAAGTGCACTGTTCCTGTCTGTGTATATTGTTAATTAACATTTCTCTGCTTGGGCACGTTAGGTCTCTCGCACTCTGAAATGTTACTTTTCTTTATATGCAAACTGTTGAAATATTGTGATCTGCTGTATAATAAATAAACAAGATGTAAACATGAAAGAGCCAGGAGAGTTTACTTTAAAGCTGTCTTCTGAGAGGAGTGGGTGAGGCTGGGCTGCTTGTCAGTAAATATTTACATCGATGTTCATTTCTGCTTAAGTTAGCTGCGGAGGATCGATGGGGAACGCCCAACCCTCGGCATCCGAGCGGCATCTCCTGTGCAACAGCTCTTGAGTCACTCCACTTCCCCGTGCCTCAGTTTCCCTAATCTGCAGATGGGGCAATTGCATCTCAGGGATGGTGTGACCGGTCCTACGGTGAGTCACAGCTGAGAGGAACGGCAGCAGAAACCCTCCCGGCAGCCTTGTCAGCCCTATTGCCTTCCCTGAGTGCCCCGTCCCGCTGTCCCCTGCAGCAGGAGCGTGGCACTGGCTGTGTGCTCACCCCAGGAGCTGCGTGTGGCCGCCTGTCCCCGTGTGCTGTTGGGTTCAGGTGCTGAGGTTTCCCTGCATTAATGGGGTGACTCAACAGCAGCATGCTGGCAGGTCCCAAGCTCAGCGAGCAGGTCTGGCTCCATCCCTCCCTCCCACGGCTGATTACCCATCATGCATACAGCCCTCCAAAAGCTGGGGCTTGTCCAGGCCTGATGCTGTGCTGGGAGCACGCGGTGCCTGGCCCCCAGTATTGCCCTGCCTGTAGTGGTGACTTCTGATGTCCTGCAGGTGGAAACTGTATGGAGTTCTGCTGTGAGCGGGATTGGGCTGAGCCTTCCCATTTCCTGCTGTGGTGCGCTCAGCTGGAGGAAAGTTGGGAATGGCAGAGCAGGGAATGGCTGTCCTGGGGCCAGTACCCAGCCTGCAGCCCTTGGATTTGCCCTGGGCAGGAGGGCGGCAGCCAGCTTGGGACTTTGCATCCTGCCTGTGCATATGGGACTCCATCAGCAGGCATTACTAACCCACTGAGTTGTCACTCGTCCTTTCTACAGCTGCCTCCGCAGTTGGCTTGCCCCAGTTTTGGAGGGGTGTGTTTGTGGGTTGACCACATTGGGACATAGGGGAGCTGTGATGGGCTCCTGGGGTGCTCCAATTCTGGGACCCTGTACCAAAAGATAGGGGTCTGACACCAGCAGGATGGCTCCAGCAAAGTTCTGGGACTGCTGCCTCTTCCCCTTCACTCGTTCGAAATGTCACATGGAGGGAGAGGGAAAGGTGTGGGCTGTTTGAATTAGCGATGAGTCAGGCTGGCAAAGCCAGATGGGGAGAGAGTGCGTGCCTCTGTGTTTGTGTGCGTATAAGTAATCTCTGGCTTTGTGTTTTTATTATGATTATTATTTTTATTTCCAGGGGAACGATGAATTTCTCCAACCATCCCGTCCCACTGGAAAGGCTGGCTCTGCTGTCCTCTCCCCGAGCATCTTGGGAGCCGCGGTGACAGTCCGCGGCTGTTTTGAGGCTGGGCTGTGAGATCAGAGCACAAACCAGTTCTTCTTCACCTTTCATCATCGGGGCGGGAGCAGGGCCTAGCTCATACAGTGCTGCTTGGCATTGAGCTGAGGGCAGAGGATTCCATCCCAGGCAGAACAACCCCAGGCATGGCCAGGATCCTCACCAGGGCCAGAAGTGGCTGCAGTGAAAATGGCAATTGCCCCTAATTTGTTGTTAATGAGACTCAGCCTCTCCCCATGGCCTGGGCCAAGGTGTGCTGATTGCTGGAGAAGGGTGCCTGATCCCTGCCCAGGTAAACTTGCCTGCAAAGCTGTGAAGGCAGTGAGAAAACACCCTCAGAAACACTGAGAAACACTCCATGCCAGATGAGACAAACAACCCATGCCCTTTGGCATGGCCAGCCAGAATGTACTTTGCTCTGTCCTGGCAGGGCATACAGGGACCCAAAATACTCCAGCAAAGCAGGTGGGACCCCTCCAGACCTCACGGTGCAGACCCACAGATTTGGAGCGCAGATGAGGCAGCAGGGAGGGAAGCAGCAAGGCATGGAACAACAGGTCCCAGCAGTGAGGTGAGTCATGGCTGCAGCGGGGCCGGCCCTTTGCAGGCACCTGCCAGCAGGACTGGGGCCCTGGGGGGGACAGGCTTGGAGCTGGGGGCTCTTTCATGGTAAGAGTAGTAGATTTGGAGATGGCAGGAGATGGAGCTAGGATGGGGGTACTGGGGGTGGAATGCTACTCAGGTACTCTGGGGATGGGGTTTTGGGGGCAGCAAGGTGGTGTTGGATCTTGCCTCCCTGGGAATGTAAGTATGGTGATTCCACCAAGGGATGTACTCAGGGCTGGCGTCTGATGCTCACTGTAGGGTACTGGGCTGTGTCCCGTCCCGAGCACCAGGGAAAATCCAGCAGTCAGCCCCCACATCCCCGCTGCTTGGCCATGGGGTGGGCCAGGCGCCGTGATAGCGGGGCTGTGGCTGTCACCGCACCCTTAGGAAACATTTGGCTTCAGGCACCTGAATCCATGGGGAAGCGATAATTCCCCAGCTCGCTCACCATGCCTGGACCCACACCTGGCGCTATCGTGTCTTAGTCACACACCGAGAGTTTTTCCACTGCTGGGCCCCAGATAACCTCCTCCCGCCCCATGGCCGCAATGTTTGCACTTGTCCTCCTCCGCAGGTGCCAGCCTGGGGGACACGCACACCTCTGGCATGGGGCCGTCATGGACCTGCCTCGTGGCCATCTGCGGGCAGAGCATCCTGCCCTGGGACCAGGCGTGTTCAGGTGACTGACATCTCCAGCTGTGCCCCTCTGCTAACTGTGAAAGCTCCTGGATGAAGCATTGCCCCTCAGAAACCACAGAAATCCCCCGCTCAGAAAAGCAGGTGCTAAAGTCATAGCTCAAGGATGCCAAATGGCCATCTGCCTCTGGGCAGATCAAAATTTGTTTTGTTTTCTAGAAGTGCTGTTGTACAGCTTCACAAACAAAGCATGGACGACCTGTGAGCGAGGTGCTAAAAGAGAGGCTGCACTGCAGCCACTGGTGATTGTCCCCCTCTATTGTGCTCTTGTGAGGCCCTATCTGGAGTACTGTGTCCAGGTCTGGAGCCCCCAGTATAAGAAAGAGAGCTGTTGGAGATGGTCCAGAGGAGGGCCACAAAGATGATCAAGGGACTGGAGCACCTCCCCTGCAAAGACAGGCTGAGGGAGCTGGGCTTGTTCAGCCTGGAGAAAAGAAGGCTGCAGGGTGACCTCGTTGCAGCCTTTCATTACCTAAAGGGAACCTACAAACAGGAGTAGAGTCAACTCTTTGAAAGGGTAGACAACAGCAGGACAAGGGGAAATGGTTTTAAGTTGAGGGAGAGAAGATTTAGGTTGGATGTCGGGAAAGTTCTTAACAGAGAGAGTGGTGAGGTGCTGGAACAGCTGCCCAGAGAGGTTGTGGATGCCCCGTCCATCCCTGGAGGTGTTCAAGGCCAGGTTGGATGGGGCCCTGGGCAGCCTGGTCTGGTATTAAATGGGGAGGTTGGTGGCCCTGCCTGTGGTGGGGGGGTTGGAGATTCGTGATCCTTGAGGTCCCTTCCAACCCTGGCATTCTGAGCGATTCTGTGTACCAAGTTCTTCAGGGAAAGCAGGGCAGAGGCAGGGCCAGCCTTCCTCTGACAAAGTGCTGGGGAAGCCTCATTTCTTTCTGTAATAGGGGAATAGTGGAAATCACCTCTGGGCCAAAGGATGAATAAGGATCATAGAATTATTGACGATGGAAAAGACCACTGAGGTCATCCAGTCTAAACACCAACCCACTCTCATTGTGTCTGCTAACCGTGTCCCTCAGAAATGAGAAAAGACTGTATGGCAACCCAGGACAAACACAGAGGGACACATTGGCAGCACCACGTGGGACCGGCCCTGGCAGCACGAGCTTGGCAGCACGGCTGGAGGAAAGGTGTGCCCAGGCAAGCCCCGGAGCTGCTAAGACCCCGGGAAGCGATACTTGGCTTTGAGCACCCGATCCTGGGTGTTCCACAAGGAAGGAGCTCGCCGAGCGGCCGCGGAACCGGGCGCACAGCTCGCTGCCCGCAGATCCGAGCCGGGAACGCCACCTGGCGGGAGCGGGGCTCGAACCCGCGATCGAAAAACCTCCTCGCACCGCCCTCCTCCTCCCCCTCAACCTCGCGGTGCGTTCACAAAAGGCTCCCGGCACTTCCTGTCGCGGCGTGGCGGGACCGGAAGTGGTGCTGCCCGGGCCCGTGTGCTGCTTGCACCGTCCCGGTGGCCGCGGAGCTGGAGCGGGTGAGGGCGGGAGGGGTCCGAGAAGCGGGGCTAAGCGGGACTTCGGCGGCTCTCCGCGACCCCGGCAGCCCGCTGCGCCCTCAGCCGGCGCGGGGATGGTGTGCGTGGGTCTCGGGGGAGGTGGGGTGCGAGGGCCCGGTGTTGGGCCTAAGGGGCGGGAGGCGGCTGTGTGTGGGGGTACGTGTGAGTGTAGTGTGTGTGTGGGTACGTGTGTATAGGCGTGCGTGTGCGTGCACTTGGGTCTGTGTGTGTGTATGTGATGTTTGCACGTGTATGTATCTGTATGAGCGTGTCTGTGTGTTCTGTATGTGTGTGTAGGTGTGTGTGCATGCACTTAGGTCTGTGTGTATGTATAAATGTGTGTACATATGTGTGTGCATATGCTTAAATGTGTGTATGGATATGTTTGCATGTCTGTGTACCTATATGAGGGTGTGTGTATCTGTATATGTGTACTTGTGTCGTGCAGCTCAGTACATATATGCACATGTGTGTTTTTCAGTGGATGTGCCACCACCAGGAGCTGCGCAGTGACTCCAGCTCTTTTCTCTCCCCCTCCCTGGAGCTGGACAGGACGGTGGCGGGCAAAGGCAGCAGGCAGGCAGCAAGATGGCAACGGGTGCAGATGTGCGGGACATCCTGGAGCTGGGGGGTGTGGAGTCTGAGAACACGGGCACCATCAACAAGAAGGATATCATCAACTCAGATAAGGTGAACTGCCACAGCCAAATGGCTGCTGCTTTGTTTCCTGGGTTCTGATGGATCTACTGTGTGGTCTCTGGGGTGGATATTTGAGAAAAGATGGAATAAAGCGCATTCCT